GTAAAGTGATGACGTTAGGCGTGTTTTTTTTTAATAAAAAAATTGCAATCATTATTTATTTAATAAACAAATTCATTCACAGAAAATTTGGCCCTCATTTCTCCTCCCTTATTCTAAAGCAGTGTTAGCTGGTTTCCCTTACCCGAGTCTCAACCTCCTCCAATGGATTTACACAAAAGGCTGCCCAAGTGTGATCTTTAACACATAACCTTGGCTATGTCACACCTTTCCAAAAATTTCAGCTATACTGATTACAGACTCTTTAGACAGGATTTGAGCCCAACCTCCTTTCCAAATGCCCTCCATTCCTTTACCTCTTTCTTGCCTGGGTCTCAGGCTACGGGTTTTCAAACTCTTCCACAAAGCCTGTGTTCCACTATAGAGCCAGGGCAGCTGAGGGCCAGTGGAGAGGAGAAGGCTTGAAGCTCCAGCCTCTGCTTCCATCGCAGCAGCTCTATTTCACATATTCCAGGTGAGATTTCATTTAAGAAAAAAGGTTCTACTGCTAAAAGCAAACAAACAAAAAACACCCCAAAATGCTTGAAATGAGTGTTGAAATGAACATCCAACAGGATGGCTCATCCCAGTCGAGCACTCTAAAAATCTCCATGCTTCCTTTAGTGTCCCCTTTGTTCATTTACTTCAACCAATGTTTATTGAGCACCTGCTATGTGCCAGGTCCTGGGGATAAAGCAGTGGATGAGACAGACACTGTCCCTCCCTAGAGGAGCTTACATTTTAGAGGAGTGACAACCGGTATTTGAAGAAATTAAGAAACAGCGCCTTTCCTTTTCTTTCTCTTCATCCATCCTTTGAGGTTCATCTCAAATGCCACTGATTTATAAAAGCTTTTTTTATTGTTGTTGAGACTATACACAGCAAAACATACACTAATTCAACAATTTCTACATGTACAATTCAGTGACATTGATTACATTTTTCAAGTTGTGCAACCATTCTCACCTTCCTTTTCCAAATCTTTCCTCCACCATTAACATACACTACCTGCCCCCTAAGTTTACTACCTGACATTTTGAGTTGGTGTTGTCAGTTTAATCCCACATAGATCATTCTTTAAAAGAACACAATTCTCAAGGCAAACACTCTTTACTAATTAACCAAACCTATTGTTCGATTTAAAGGAGACTTAAGGGGATATTTTTGGTTTAAGGTTTAAAGATTATCCCCGGGCAATAGGTTTGTGAGTTCATCTAGCCTCAATGGCTCCAGAAAATCTGTATTCCATGAAGATTTGGAATTCTGTTCTGCATTTCTCCCCCTTTTGATCAGGATTCTTCTCTAGGTTCTTTGATCAAAATGTTCAGTAATGGCAGCGGCGCACCGCATCCAGTTCTTCTGGTCTCATGGCAAGAGAGGCAGTTGTTTATGGAAGCAACTAGCCATGCATTCCATTTCCTCCTTCTATTTCTGACTCTCCTTCTTCCTATGTTGCTCCAGGTGAATAGAGACCAGTTGTTGCATCTTGGATGACCACTTGTAAGCTCTAAGACCACAGACACTACGCAATGAACTAGAAAGTAGATTACAAAATCTTTTGATTTGCCTTTCCTACTGACTGGAAGCGTTCCCTTCTCTCTATAAAATTTTGCAAGTTGAGGATATTTGTTGTTTTTCTTGCCCAGCATACTCACCTTCTGGTTGTAGTACCTGGAATATTCTTTGGGAAACCACCTCTGCTTTTCTGTCTCCCAGTTCAAACCCAAAAAACCAAACTCATTGCCGTTGAGTCGATTCTGACTGATAGTGAGGTTATAGGATAAAGTAGAACTACCCGATAGGGTTTCCAAAGCTGTAATCTTTATGGAAGCAGACTACTACATCTTTCTCCAGAGGAGTGGCTGGTGAGTTCAAACTGATCTTTCAGTCAGCAGCCAAGCTCTTAACCACTGTGCCACCAGGGCTCCCAGCTCACTCGGTTCTAATTGGACTTCGGAAATGGGCAAGTAACCCAGGCCTGGTTAACTGGCACACAGAACCCCCCTTAACCACAGATGTTTAGGTCTGGCCAGTTAGGTTAATTCCACGCCTCTGAGTACAATGATTAGTTTGGGATGGGTGAATGATCGCAATTGGTCCAGCGTGAATCCCAGACATGTAGAAGTCTCAGGAAACAGATGGTTTCTTTTCTGCTGAATTTAAGCCTGAAAAGATGTAGACCCAGGATTTTTGGCAGCAATCTTGTTACACTGTGGAGAGGGAAGCGAACATGGAAGAAAGTAGAGCCATGTGATGGTTAAGGACCAGATCGTGTGACAGTGTTTGACTGCCTGGGGTCAAGCCACATCTAAAGTCTGACCTCTGGACTTTTCAGTTCCATAGCCAATATATTCTTCCTTCTGCTGAAGTAATTTTAAGTCAGATTTTCCAGAACAATATGGAGTACTTCACGATAGCAATTCTAACGTGGCCTCTCTGAGAACTAAAGGTTGATACTTCTCTGGCTCCAGACACCCTCTAGGTATAAGCCCCATCCTTTCTCAAATTCTCCCCAGTAAGTTCAGAAGTGCCCAGGAGACCCCTCGTGTGTTCAGCAAGCTAATCCTTTGACATTCCCTCCACTCCCACTGGGAGTGAAGGGAGCCTCCTTATTCTGCAGAAGCTGGGAGTGGTAACCCTGTCTGGGTCGTCCAGTAAAGCATGTAATAGTCCATACCGAGGGGACAAAAATGTGCACCCTCTTAAGGCGGTTTGCTGTCTGGGTCCAGGTTGCTGAGTTGCTGGTGTCCCACCCAGCAGCACAAAGGTGCTGCTCCTGCTTGCTACTCTATCTTCACAGCTCCATTTACAGGGGACTTGCCTTGTGCCAGGCTCTATCCTGGACACTTTGCACTCATTCTCATATGTAATCCTCACAGCAGCCTCAGAGGTGGGGTAATTATTGTATCCCCCATTTAACAGATGAGGAAACTAAAGCTCAGATAACTGGGTTCCACAGCTTCCAAGACTGTGTGCTTAAACAGTGTCCCATGAATCTGCATCTGGCCACAGGGATGGGCGGATAGCTTTGGAGGGGAGTCCAAGGGAGGGAGAACAAAGATGGGACATTTGGGGCTGTAGGAAAATTGAAAAGGAGCCCTGGTAGCGCAGTGGTTAAGCTCACCCAGAGGCTCTGCGGGAGAAAAAGCCTGGCTATCTGCTCCGGTAGATTACAGCCTAGGAAACCCTATGGGGGCAGTTCTACTCTGTCATATAGGGTCAGTACGAGTCTGAATCCACTCGACGGCAACCGGTATGAGTCAGAATCGACTGGAAGGCACACAACAACGGGAAAGTTGAAATGGTCGCTTAGGTTGAGAACGGCGATGAGAGCGTGTTGAGAAGGCTGCTTGAGGGTGAGAGTGGGCCCAGTCCCAGAGCCCGACTCGAGCTGGGGTGTGCTACGCGGCGACTCAAGTGGCCACGGGGTTTTCCGCGCCCAAAGACATCTCGCCCACCAGGTGCGGGCGGCTGGTGGGGCGGGGCCTCTCTGGGCCCACCCAGGCCCAGGTGGGGCGCCCAGGGCCCCGGCCTCAAGAGCTGCTGCGCCCCCGCAGGGGTGGCAAGGTGTAGCGAGTCCCTGGCTGTCCCGCTGACTGGCTGTCGGGCCGGGCCCGCTCGGTGCTCCGGGACTGGCCGGGCCAGGCCTTTGCGGGGGTGGAAGAGGAGGGTGCCGCGCCCTGCCCGGCCCAGGTGTCGTCTCCGGGGGCGGGGTTTGGGAACTGGGCAGCAGGAGATTCCCGGCCAGACTAGCGGGCGGGCGTCGAGGGACAGAAGCAGACGAGACCCGGCAAAGCCCGGCGGCGCTGGAAGCGCACTGGGCGGGCAAAGTTACAGAGCCGCCAGCATGTTCGCCCGAAACCACCGGAGCCGAGTCACCGTGGCCCGGGGCTCCGCCCTGGAGATGGAGTTCAAACGCGGCCGCTTCCGACTCAGTCTCTTCAGCGACCCGCCGGAGGTGAGAGTCCCGCGCCCCTGCCCGCCCCTTCCCCGGCTGCCGCAGCCTCTGGCCGCCTCTGCGCCCTCTCCGCCGCACGCACGAGGGGGGCGGAGACGCCGCAGTTTGGACACAAAACAGTGCCCGAGTTGTTGACTTTTTAACAAGTAAGGCGCGGACCTCTGCACGTGAATCGGACCTGTGCCGACCCAGACACTCCCTGGCCGGGTTGGGATGATTTGCCTCTGCCTGGAAAAACTCCCGGGCATCCCAGGGCAGAAGCAGGTGGGCAAGCTTGGCAGGCCCCAAGAGCTCAGACTCTTGGCCTGGCCTGGGCTCCCGCTCCTTCCCGGGTCACCGGCCCCATTCCACAAACCTGTCTTAACCACTTGGGACACCCTCGACTTCTAGGTCAGGTCTCTGCCCCTTCCGCGGAAGCCCTTGGCTGGGCTGGGGAGGAGGTGATTTCCCATTCCCAAACTTTCGGCCTCCTTCCCTGGGGCCTAAAAGGAGCCCAGTCTCTAGGCTGAGCGTTTTCTCCCGGGCCCACCGGTCTACACATGGTCCCGGACTGAGCCCTACCTGTAACTCCCCAAAGAGGTTCGGGAGGGGCTTGAAGATATGGGGCTGAGGCAGGACTGCAAGGGCCAGCAGCCCCCTCCCTGTAGGACCTCAGAGAGGCTTCTGTCTTCAAGGTCAACCTCACACTTGCCCAAGGACAGCCCAATTCCAAGCTCTTTCCCCTTCAGGCCTGGAAAGGGTTAAGACAGGACGGCCTTCCTCCCGCCCCCTCTCCCTCCCCGCCGGGATTCCAGGCCTAGCTTTTGCCCTTTCCCTCCCGCCTGCCCTGAACAAAGGCCCTTTCACACTCTTATCCCAGTGTCCCGAGCTTCTCTAGTTCCGAGGTTAGCGGACTCGGGGGAGGGGACTTTTGTCGGAGCCCGCCTAGCAACCCCGCCTGAGGAACCTGTGCGCGCGGGGGTACGGGCGAGGCCACGGGCGAGGCCCGGGGACCAGGGGGAGGGGCCTGTGCGCTGGCGCCGCCCCCGGGATGAGCCCCGCCTTCGGGAGCCAGCACTGAAGAGCCGGGGCGGAGCCGCAGGGCACTAGGGGAGTGTGACTCCGTGGGCCTGGGGTGGAGGGGGGGCAAACTGCAGCTGGCTGGGAATCGGGGCTGGTTTCCTGTCTGGAAGGGAAGGGGCCCGCAGAGGGGAGCGGGGTTAGCAGCAGACAGGCACACCCCTGACTTTCTCTCTCCCTCCTCCCTCTCCTCTCTTCTGCTGGAAAAGCGAGGTAATTGTGAGTCCAGGGTGGGGCGGGCTGGATGGGGGCCCTGAGTTGCAAGCGGTGGCTCTGGGAGCTGGGCTGCAATACCTACTCACCCCTTTGTCCCACTCCCTGGGCTCCTCCTCCGTTCAAGTCCTCAACTCCGTCCCTCTTCCTCCTAACTCTCAAACTAAGCCAGAACCCCTCTTGGAAAACTCCAACCTCCTGGCAAACCCCACGACTTTGCAGGACCTGCATGAGACGTCCTCTCCCTGCCCCCGTCCAGCTGTGCCTGCCCCTCACGCCCTCTCTGCACACAGATTCTCTGTCCACTAGGCCAGGGATGTGGGCGGGGGCTGGGGAGGGGCCAGAGTCGGAATGAAAGGGCCTTTTTCTTCCACAGCTGGGAGAACAGCTGCCACCAAAGCAAGACTGGACACTGTGTGCCCAGAGCCCCCTCTGCAGCTGGCCTCTCCTCCTGGGACCCCGCTCATCCTCACCTCGCTTTCCTTTCCTCCCCTGCCTGGTTCCCAGCAGGGCCTGGAACAGCAGGCAATAGGCGAGAAGTTTGTCACAGCAGCCAGAGGGGTCTAACAGGAGCCCGTAGGGACAGGGGCAGCCTTTGCCTACTGCCCAAGAGCTGCCCTTCTCTTTCAAGATTGAGAGCAGTGGGAGGAGGAACTGTGGGGCAACGTGGTGCCTGCCCCCCCTTCTGGAGGGGTCTGCAAGGGAAGGGGCGCTGGGGGGCACAGAGATGCAGGACCGATTGCACATCCTGGAGGACCTGAATATGCTCTACATTCGGCAGATGGCGCTCAGCCTGGAGGTAATGCCCCACCCCTGGAGTACATACCTCCTCTGTCCACTTGCATCCGAATACTCCAGTCTCTGCCCTGCCTGTCCCTGCTGGGACTGAGTGGGGAGGGGAGGGCCTGCTTAAAGTGGGGAGAGGGGCAGGTGGTTCTTGGGTGCTTGGTGAACCCAGACTCAGTTCCTCTGATCAGAGCATTATGGTGGCAACAGGGTCTTCATATCTATTTTTGGAAGCTCTGTGGGTGGGTGTGGACATGTTTTCTGGGGATGAGGGCTCCTTTTAGGTATGAGAGGAAGAGGAGTTCAATGTGAGACAGATTTGCAGCTAGGATGCAGTCTCGCTCGAGAAAGGGAAAGGAGCTCTGGAGCAGGAGTATGCTATCTGCGGGCCCTGGAGATGGCAGGGACGTGTTTATTCATTCAGTTATTCTTATAACACACTTCTGGAACACCTGCTATGTGCAAAGCTCTGTTCTAGACCCTGGGAACACCTCAGTGAACAAGACAGGAATGGTCCATTCTAGTGCGGAAGAGACAGCAGACATGCGAAGACATAAAGAAATCATCTCACATGGTGAAATCATGATGGAAACAGGAATGTAATCAAAATTGGGTGAGGAGGGCAGCATTAGATGTGGGGACCATGGAGGCCCTCTGTGAGGAGATCTTTGAGCTGAGACCAGAAGGACATGAAAACGTGAAGACTGGAGAAAGGGCTTTCCAGACAAGGTATAGTGAGGGCAAAGATGAGGATGAGGTGATACATTTGTGGGAAAGAAAGAAAACCAGTGTGGCTGGAACACAGTAGCTGGGGTTGAGCTGGTGGGCAGCAGTCAGATCATACAGGGCCCTGAAGGCCATGATAGGGCACTTGGATTTTACTCTGAATGTGATGTTGGACCATGGACGGGCTTTATGCAGGGGAATGACTGATCAGTTTTTAAATGATGGCTGCTGTGGAGAATGGACTGGAGGGATGTGAGTGGAGGGATTTGGCAAGTGAGGTAGCAGAAGACCAGGTAGGAGGTTATTACAGTCACAGGGGTGTGAAACTGGTGGTGTGGATTATAGTGCCCATGGAGACTGGGAGAAGAGGGTGGATTTCAAATGTTGGGGGTAGATCTCACAGGCCTTCTGATGGCTTGGATGTGAGCGGTGAGGCAAAGAGAGGACTCCAGGATGATTCCCTGGTGTTTGGCTTGAGCACCTGGGCGATGTGGCCATTTACTGAGATGGGGAAGAGGAAGGACGTTGTGGAAGTGACTTCCTGGATGAGGCAGGAGGTTGCTGTGGAGGGAGGTGAGAGGCACGACTGTAAAGTCTAGGTCAGGAATGGCAAATTCATTGCTCACGTGCTGCTGCCTTGAGTCGCCTCTCCCACTCCCTGGACCACAGTAGACATTGCTAGTCAGTCACAGCACTCTCTACCGATAAGCCCAGATGTGGCCTCAGAATCTTTCTCAGCACAGTCGTGGCATAAATTGTGCAGGTTGTGCCCTTCGCAAGTGATCCAGTCAGAGGCAGCAGCCCTGTTCTGACTGGGGCTACATCAGGAGGGGACACCTTTGTCTAATTTGTTTGCCTGGAGGGGGTCATCTTTTTCTAATTTGCAGAAAGGTGCCCAGTGAGGCCGTTGGGGCTCTGACACTAGCTAATTGTCCTGTGTTGGTACATGAGATAAATCTATTAGCCATCCTTTGTCATCTGACACTATCTAATACAGTAGACAATAGTTTATGTGAGGAGTCCTTGGATGGTGAAAATAGTTAAGCACTTGACTACAAACTAAAAGATTGTCAGTTTGAACCCACCTAGAGACACCTCGGAAGAAAGGCCTGGTGATCTGCTTCCAAGAAGTCACAGCCTTGAAAACCCTATGGAGAGCAGTTCTATTCTGTACACATGGGGTCACTATGAGTTGGAATTGACTCTACAGCAGTTAGATGTGCCTATTTAATTAAAATAAACTAAAACATTTAGTTCCTTAGTTGCTCTAGCCATATTTCAAGTGCTCGTGTAGCTAACGGCTCCTGGACATTTCCATCATTGCAGAAGGTTTTATTGGACAGAGCTGGTCTAGATATTTAAATGTTTAGACTCTGCACCCCCTCTGCCCCCACCAATGTAGTTTTTCTCTATGGGAGGCCTACCCAGAGTCTTGGGGTAGAGGAGGGACTTTATTTTCACTTTGACCATGCCTTCCTCAGCCATGGGCTGAGGATGCTGTGCTCTTTCTTCACCAAGCTCAGCTTGTTCCCTCCTGCACAGGTTCTCAAAAGAGAGACTCGTTGATGTTTCAGGGGATGGCAAAAGAGGTAGCAGAAAAGAGTAAATCTGAGAAGACTTTCTGGAGGAGGTGACCTTAAACTGAAAGTAAAGGGGAGGTGGGAGTGGGAGAAAGGTTGTTTTTAATTATGTGCTGGGCCCAGGTAGAGGTTAGGCTTTCCCATTTAATCCTCAAACAGGGCTACGAAGGAGGTGGAATCATCCCCAGTTTACAAATTATGGCTGCAAAGGTTAAGTTCTCACAGTTAATCAAGTACCTAAGCCAAGATTTGAACTGATTACCCAAAAGTAGCTCTGGTGAGATTATGAAGGGACCAGAAGACAGAGACAAACTGAGCAGGAAGTCAGGGACAGAAGAGAATGGAAGGGGCGGGAAAGGGTATCCACTAGGCCAAATGTGTGCTGGGGCTTCTCGCCATGACTCATCCTCCTTCAGCACCCTGGGCCCTAACCCAGGTCCGGCTGAGACCCAATTCCGGGCTCTCTCCCAGGAGAGTCGGGAAAATGCTGCTTGCTTGGAGAGAGGGATGTGTGGTTGGGGAGGGGGGCGGCATGGAGCTCTCCTTGGGGTGGGGTGATAGGGGGCAAAGCACAGGGGTCCAGAGCCTGCTCCAGGATTTCTAGGGCGCTTTTGACTGTGGGGCCTTGGGGGAGAGGATTTGGGGCTGGAGGGCAGGAGGGGATTGTATGGGCCCCCAGCCCTGCTCATTCAGGCTGCGCCCAGCAGCTTCTCTGGGGCTCAGATTTCCGTAATTCATATACTACTCCCCCCTCCCTATGCTCCCAGGCAAGGGGTCACCTTTGAGGACAACCACAAAGAGCAAGGGGCCTCCCCACCCCGCTCCCGTCCTCCACCTCTGGCGTGAGTGCAGCGCCGAGGGCCGGAGGCCTTTGCAGGACGACGTGGGCGCTCCCGAAGGTCCAGTCGTGTAGTCGCGCTTCCCCGAGCTGGGACCCTCGTCTGCCAGGAGCCCTGAGGGACTGCCCAAGCCCCGGCGCCCCTTGGCCGCTCTCGCGGCAGTTGGGAGCTGATGTCACCAGCGCCCCGGGCGCCGCGGGCGGGTGCGGCTGCGGCTGCGCTGGCGCCTCTGCTCCTCCACTCCCCACGGCCCTCGGGCCTCTCTGGCTCCGGCTCCGGCTCCGGCTGCTTGTACCCCGCGCGCCTCCTGCGCCTGCGCCGCACGAGTAATGGACAGGGCTGGGGAAGGATCCGTGAGTGCTGGGGCGACGAAGCTCGCCAGGAGAGGGTTGAGGACGCCGCTGCATCACCCTTGCCCTCATCCCTTTGGGGTGCTGGATGCCAGGAGCTGTGTGCAGAACGGGGTGGGGGTTGGCAAGTAGCGAAGCTTAGCGCAGGTGGGACCCTGGTGCAGACAGACATAGCCGGCTGCTGGAGGGACCCGGTGGGCTGGGACAGCTGTGTAGTCTGGGAGGGCTTCCTGGTGGAGGGGGAGTTGGAACGGGTTGGCCTATTTGGGAAGGGCAGGATGGGAAATAGGTGGGTAGTGCTGAGGTGAGGGGTGATGAAAAGTCTGATTTTGGCGCACTGGCCCAGGAAATGGATAATGAAGGAAGAATCGGCAGGGAGGCTGGGCAAGGCTTTCGAAAGGGAGTTTGGGGAGTTCAGGTCTTGGAGACTTAAAGGTTGGAGCCACTAGGGACAGCAGCAAGGAAGCAGAGTGTGGAGGAGAGCTGGTGTGAGCGAGAAGACAAGTTTTGGGTGGTCACATTCACTCCCCTCCTCCAACTGGGTAGCTTGACTTGCCTTGCCTCCAGAACCATCTGCACACTGATCTGAGTTAGTCATCCACCTCCTCTCTGAAGCCTTCCCTGGTCACCTCAGCCACAAGCAAGCAGGGCCTGTTTCCTGTGAGAGTGTTTTTGCAATGACAAGGCACTTGTGAAGCAGCCATTAATGGCCGCATCTCTCACCTCCCAGCTGGATTTTAAATGTAGAGCTTTGGACAGCAGAGGGATGCTCCACTGTTCTGAAATAGCAGCATTAAAACAAGCACCCCACCATTCATGTATACAACGTGCTGGGCGTTGTGTTAAGTGCTTTATATCCCTGTCTCACTGAAGCCTCATAACAATCCTAGGATGTGGGGACTAGTTCCATCCTTGTTTTACAGATGGGGAAACCAAGCCTTAGGGAGGTTGAATAAATTGCCCAGTGCTTTAAAATAAGTTTCTTCCCAGCTTCTCAAGAAAATGGCAGGGCTGTGACTCTGACCCAGGTTTGTCTCAGCTCACACAAGTGCTCTCAAGCTCTGCTCTGTGACCAGACCTCTAGGGCTCCTTTCTGAGCAAATGTTCCTGAGAATCCTGGTGCTTCTCCCAGTGTCTCCCCTCTGGTCCATATGCACAGCCTGCCCAGCCCCTCATACCTGGAGCACCTGCCTTACTTGCCTTTCCATCCCCATTCCCTGCCTCTGTCCTCACCCCCCAAGCTCAGAGGGCCAGAAGGTGTGAATCCCCTAATTTGGGGTGTGTATGGGGTTCTATGCAGCATGGGTGAACTCTGTAGAAGGTGTGCTCCTTCTCCACTGTTGCCTTGCCAACAAGATGTTGTCCCGCATCACTTGAGTCTTTGGAGCAACCCACAATATCTGTGTCCATTCCTTTTAGTTGGTGGTTCTCAGCCCTGGCTGCACCTTGGAATCTCTTGGGAAATGTTCAAAAAATCACATGCCTCACTCCTAGAAATTCTTATTCTGCAAGTCTAAGATGGGACTTGGTAAATTTTCACTCGAAGATTTTACTTTTTTAAAAGGTTTCATTAAAAAAAGTTACAGATTCCAATAATACAGTAGTACAGTAGGTATATATATAATGTATAAATTTGTTTTCCATTCCTGGCTCCCAGTCCCACCACTACTATTTTATGTATATATGAGAGAGAGAGCAAGAGCACCCTGGTGGTGCAATGGTTAAGCACTCGGCTGCTAACCAAAAGGTTGGCGGTTTGAACCCACCAGCCCTCTGCGGGAGACAGATGTGGCAGTCTGTTTCCGTAAAGATTACAGCCTTAAAAACCCTATGGGGTGGGTCTACTCTGTCCTATGGGGTCTCTATAAGTCAGAATTGACTCGATGGCAGTGGTTGTTATATAGAGAGAGACAGCTAGATACAGAGTCAGTCCGTGGGGGGTGCAAGTGCTTAAGTGCTTTGCTGCTAAATGAAAGGCTGGCCGTTCGAGTCCACCAAGAGGTGCCTTGAAAGAAAGATCTGGCGATCTACTTCCAAAAAATCTGCCATTGAAAACCCTGTGGAGCGTAGTTCCACTCTGACACACATGGGGCAGCCATGAGTCAGAACTGACTCGATGGCAGCTGGTTACTGGTTATGTATATAGGTATATATACACATACAGACACACACACACATATGTATATCTATCAGGCACAAATAGTAGCATGCTGTAATACTGTTCTGCTTTTCTCACTTCATATATTTTGGAGATTTTTTTTTTTTTTTTGCACACGTGTGTGCCTCATTCTGATGTCTGTGTAATATTTTAGGGTATTACACACATAGTAATATACAAACTGTATTAGTTTCCTAGGACTGCCTAACAAAGTAAAACAACAGAAATTTATTGTTTCACATTTTTGGAGGCTTCCTGTTGTGTGCTGTCGAGTCGATTCTGACTCAGTGACCCTATACAACAGAGTAGCACTGCCCCATAGGGTTTCCAAGGCTGTAATCTTTACGGGTCTTTTATCCTGCAGAGTGGCTGGTGGTTTCAAACCACTGACCTTTCAGTTAGTAGCTAAGCACTTAACCATTGCACCACCAGGGCTCCTTTTTCGGATGCTAGAAGTCTGAAATCAGGGTGTTGGCAGAGCCATGCTGCCTCCAAAGGCTCTAGGAAAGAATCCTTCCTTGCCTCTTCTAGCTTCTGGTGTCTGCCAGCAATCCATGGCATTCCTTGGCTTGAAGATGCATCACTCCAATCTCTGCCTCTGTCTTCACATGGCTGTCTTCCTCTGTATGTGTCTCTGCATCTCTTCGTATAAGGACATCACTCATATTGGATTAGGACCCACCCTTCTCCAGCATGACCTCATCTTAACTAATTACATCTACAAAGACCCTATTTCCAAATATCACAGTCAGAAGTACTAGGGGCTAGGCCTTGAACATATCTTTCTAGGGGACACAATTTAATTCACAACAGTATGGATGTGCTATAACCAATTTAACCAGTGCCCTATTGCAGGACTTTTAATCTTGCGATTTAAAATAATGCTGCAACGAATATTTTTGTACACAGGTGTTTGCCCATGTGTGTTTAAGTATACCTGTAGGATAAATTCCTAGATATTGAATAGCTCCATCAAAGGATATGCAAATTTATAGTTTTCATAGATTTTTTTCCCCACAAATTCTGCTCAAAAGAGGCTAAAGGAATTTTTATTCCCACCATCAAATGTGTGAGAGCATCTGTATTTCTACAAAGCTTCCCTGGTTATTCTTGGGCAGCTGAGGTTGAGACCCAACCCTTGCTCCTGATTTGTTAAAACGTTTAAGTTTCTTAGTTTCTCCTTGGCCACAGCCCACCTGGGGGCTGGGGGGTGCTTCAGCCTGTCCCCTGCCTGACATTTCCTTCTCACCCTGGTCAGGACACGGAGTTGCAGAGGAAGCTAGACCATGAGATCCGGATGAGGGAGGGGGCCTGCAAGCTGCTGGCAGCCTGCTCCCAGCGAGAGCAGGCTCTGGAGGCCACCAAGAGCCTGCTCGTCTGCAACAGCCGCATCCTCAGCTACATGGGCGAGCTGCAGCGGCGCAAGGAGGCGCAGGTGCTGGGGAAGACTGCCTGGCGGTAAGTAAGCAAGGGGAAGGAGGCCTTGCCGGGAGCTGGAGGCCTAGGGTGGTGGCAATGCATTATGTGTACATATGGAGTGTGGCTCACCCTGAAGAGGACCTCCCCATGGAGCCTTGCCAGGGGCCTGCCAGGCACCTCAGGTGTTCTCCCTCAGCAGCGTGCTATCTGCTGGCATACCAGTGGCCAGGGCTGGACTCAGGAAAGCCAGTGCATCCGGTGGAAGGCAAGCAGTCTCAGGGGCAGTAATGCAAAAGCACTAATTCACTAAGCCCTGCCTATGATCTGATGAGTCTCGCTGGTAGTTTCTGGAAAGCTAATTTTCTCAAAGCCAGTTCACCAAATGGCCAATTTGCTCAATGGCCAATTTACCATAGCTTGTTGTATCTGGGGTTTACCATCAGAGGAGGGATTGGGAAAGGACATAATAAAAAGCCATTTAAGGGGAACTACCCATTCACATAAATTAGATTATGCATTCTAAAAGGGATCAGCTCTGGATGGGAGACACGAGCTACACGGCATTATACTCCACGGATCTGACAAGTTCACAGTGAGATGGTTGAGGTGATACTGTGGTAAAACTAAAACACTGGAGAAAAGATCCTCAGTAATTTGGCAAATGGATCTTTCTGAGAATTGGCTATTTTGGGTAAATTGGTCATTTGGAGAATTGGCTTCTGGCAAAGTGGCCTGCTGGGTCCCACTGGGCAGAGTGGGGAGAAGGCCCCGGCCCTTCATTGGCCTGGTGCCCATCCAGCTCAGTCAATGAAGGCTGACACAAGGGAAAGTTGCCAGGAACCCTCCAGACCTCACCCATGCAGCCACCAAGAGAAGGCAGGAAACCCACTCTACAGCTGCCCCAGGAAGCTAAAGGAAGGCAAGCAGGCAGGGACAGCTTCTTCTGTGAGAGGTGGCTGTCGACAGGCTCTGCCCTGCCCAGAGACATTACTCAAGTCCCCACATGGCCCAGGCAGTGTGATTTGAGGTACACCCCAGATCTGTCACAGCTAAACACATTGCCATTAGTGCCACGTCATTAAGCTTAAGGATCTACTAGATGGGTGGGCAAGGGAGGGAAGGAAGGCTGGGTGTGTGAGGCCCTGTACTAGAGAGCTTGGGGCACTGTGAAGGCTCAGCATATCTGGCTGGGGGTTAAAGGAGAAATCAAAGCCTGGTGTGAGGTGGGAGGGGGGAAAGGGTTTGTGGTGAATGGAACATAAATGTCCCCTACTTGCTTTTTTTTCTCCATCATCAAACACTGGTCAACTTATTTTCTGACCGACCAGTACCCTCCTACATCAAAGAAGCAATGAGACGGTGGAAATGAGCAGCCTCCCTTCTTGTCAAAAAGACAAGCCTGCAAACCCCTCCAAGTGTGGGGTTTTAATGGAGAAGAGCCCTTGAAAAGGAGTCTCACTGTAGGCACCTGTCCCCTCAAAGCCTCACTTGTCCCTGGCAGGTGTCTGTGGATGTAGTCAGGAAGGGAGCTAACGTGGCTCTGGTGTCCCCAAGCCCAGGAATCCTCCCCCAGTCCATCAGGCCTGCCACGTCAGCCTGACTGGGGCCTGGGGGCTGGGCCCGTGGGACCAGAGGTGGTCCTAGAGCCCTTGGGAACTGGAGCGAGGGGGAGCAGAATCTAGAGGCCAGGCTAGGACATTGTGATTTACCCACAGGCCTTTTGACAGCGGCCCGCCAGCTGACCGCTCCCCCTGCCGCGGCCGGGTCTGCATCTCTGGTAAGGAGCACAACTACCCCCCGCTGGCTTCCCTTGCCCAACCTCATGACCTCTTGCGCTGTCTCAACACCTCTTCCTCCCTCTCTGCCCCTTAGACCTCCGGATTCCACTCATGTGGAAGGACACGGAATATTTCAAGAACAAAGGTGGTGAGTTCCACATACTCTGGGACAAATTCAGGGGAGTGACTGAGGCTAGAGGCCCTTGTGGGGCATGTTTTCACCAGTTTTGCCTGCTTTGCCCCAGACCTGCACCGCTGGGCTGTGTTCCTGCTGCTGCAGCTAGGGGAGCACATTGAAGACACGGAGATGGTCGTGGTAGACAGGACCCTCACGGACATCTCCTTTCAGAACAGCATGCTCTTGTGAGTACCTCGTCCCTGTGGCTCCCTTTGTCCATGCTGCCCCAGTTCTCAGATGAGGTGGCTATAGGGGAGGAGAGGGAGGAGGGGAGACGGGAGCCTGGCCTTCCCTGGGGAGTTGTCCTGTGCTTGCACCACCCCTCCCTGCCTGAGTCTCCCACGACTTCCCCATGACCATCCTTCTCTCCTTCTCCCACACTCCGATAGTGCGGACGCGGGACCAGACTTCGAGCTGCGGCTGGAGCTGTATGGCGCCTGCGTGGAAGAGGAGGGGGCCCTGACGGGTGCTCCCAAGAGGCTTGCCACCAAACTTAGCAGCTCCCTGGGCCGCTCCTCAGGGAAGCGTGTCCGGGCGTCGCTGGACAGTGCTGTGGGCTCAGGGAGCAGTCCCATTCTGCTCCCCACCCTGGCTGTGGGGTAAGGCCCTACACTCCCACAGCTCCCTCAGCTGTTTGTACCCCAGCCACAGGTGACCTCTCAACTGTACTGTGTGGAACCTGTTCTGCACTGCTGCCAGGACATGCAGACAGATGTGAATGAGCAGCGGCCACACAGCTGTGAGGCACTCTGCCCCAAACCAGCTGAGAAGACCAATAGGGAGGCAGGGAGAGCTAGGCTCTGGGCTCTGAACTTTTAGCAACAGCAAATACGTCTTATGAGGGTAGATCAAAGCTCCCTGGTTGGAGCAGGGAAGCCTGTGGTGGTGCCTATAGCCACCTAGAGGCATCCTGTGGAACCAATGGGACTCTGAGGAGCAGTGTGAGAACCTCTAGGGCAGTGGCATCACTAGGGTTGGTGTCACCCAGTGTGGTAACTCATGGTGTCACCCCCCACACTAATTACCACAATATTATAGCTAAAACACCAGAAAATTTGACAAAATCAGCGACTATAAAAACACCAGCAGCAATGAAAACAACAGTGTGTGCTTATGGTGCATGCAGACAAAACCACATGATTTGAAGCGTCATTGTAATCGGGTAACCATGACAGCTCTGACTGGGGCACATTAACGCGAAAACCAAACCTGTTGCTGCTGAGTTGATTCCAACTCATAGCGACCCTATAGGATAGAGTAGAGCTGCCCCATAGGGTTTCCAAGGAGTGGCTGGTGGATTGGAACCGCTGACCTTTTGGTTAGCGGCCGAGCTCTTAACCACTGTACCACCAGGGCTCCAGACTGCATGAGAAGGTTCAAAAAGTAAATTAGCCTTGTAGGTATATCAATACACGTAAGCTAGGCTTATGAAAAATGTTTTTGTTGTTATAACTATGGGGATATTTTTCTAAAAAATAATAAATTTCTGCTGAATCACTGCACAGAAATTTTATAGACAGTCATTTGGGTGTCACCCCCTCTGACAGTGTCACCCAGTGCGGTCCGCACCCCCTACACCCTTCTAGTGATGCTACTGCCCGAGGGTAATGAACAGAATGCTGGTTTTGGAGACGGAGGTGGATCCAAATTCCAGTTCCACCGCTTACCAGTTATAAATTACAGTATGGGCAAGTTTCTTAACCTCTCTAAACCTCAAGTTACCTTGTCTATTAACTGAAGAATGCTACCAATGTCCCAGGGCTGCCCTGGGAATACAGTGGGATAACATGCCAAACACGAGACCTGGCACTTGGAGGGGCTCAATGATGTCTGTTCCTCACCCCCGCTGGGGAGGCAAGCTAGGACTGCAGTTTTGTGTGGGGCAGCCCTTACAGTTCCTGCCACTGAACACACCCCACTTGTTGAAGCCCACTTCTGTCTCTCCTACAGTGGTCCCCGTTACCACCTCTTGGCACACACCACACTTACCCTGGAAGCAGTGCAAGATGGATTCCGCACACATGACCTCACCCTCACCAGTCACGGTGAGTATGGGGGTGGGCGCTGGATGGTGAGAAGGTGCCATTTGGACAGTCCCCTGTTCACTCCTCACCCTTACCCTGCCCTTCCTCCTCCCCCAGAGGAGAACCCTGCCTGGCTGCCCCTTTATGGTAGCGTGTGTTGCCGCTTGGTGGCCCAGCCTCTCTGCATGACTCAGCCCACTGCAAGTGGTACCCTCAGGGTACAGGTGAGAGGGCCCCTGAGGAGTGGTTGGGAAAAGGGAGAAGGCAGATGAGAGCTGATCACTTGGGAATAGAAAGGCTTCTGAAAAATCAAGATCTGGGTGGGCAACATGAGAGATTGGGCAGGAGGCTGGGCAGAAAGGAGGAGGTTCTTGATGCCGGACTGGGAAAGAAGGGTGTTGGGGGGTGTGACTCCCCTAGGAGACCTAGAGTTCTTTATGCAGCAAGCTGGGGAGCTGCAGAGCTGGGCCCGAGTGCACGGAGTCCTGAAAGGCACAAACCTCTTCTGTTACCGGCGCCCGGAAGACGCAGATGCAGGGGAAGAGCCGCTGTTTACTATTGTGATCAACAAGGTAACGGATCCCCTGGGGGTGAGGCACCAGCTGCCTGGGCCCAGAAGCCTCTCCTTTAGGCCCTGGGAGGGTGGGTGCAGACCTCAGCGAGAGAGAAGCTGGCTTCCTATTCCTAACCATACTCAGCTTCGGGGCCAGGAAGGCTAAGGAGGCCATGGTTTCCCCCACCAGCATCACTAGAGGATTGTCCCATTCACTCACCGGCCTCAGCCCCTGCCAAGTGTCAGAGGGTTCTACAGTCCATTTAGGGTTTTTCATCTTCCTCCCCTTCTTCCCCTCAGGTTCAAATCTGCATCTACTTCACCATTTCGTGTTCTTCTCTCCTGACCCAGGTCCAACCGCCCGTCTTTGCCCACCAGCCCTTTTGCTGGCTTTCCTATCTACTCTTAGATGTGTTGAGGGACCTCAGGCCTCAGTGTTCTTGCCCTCCTCTGTGCCCTGCTTTACTCAGTTCTCTCTCATGACTCAGAACTGGTTGTCTCATCCCCAGCCCTTTCCTGCCATCCCTTCCTGCTCTCATCAGTAGAAGGCAAACGAGAGGGCCCAGCTAAGGCCCCACCAGCTCCTTCTAAGGCAGGGATGATCAAGCCTGCCTGGTGTCACTGCCAAATTCTGTGACCAAGGTGTGGCTGGAAGCAGACCCCTTCTCCTTCCTCCTGCAGGACACTCGGGTCCGGGCAGGAGAGCCGGACCAGGCCCCAGGGCGGCCCTTCACCCTGAGCATCAGTAACCAATACAGGGATGATGAGGTGAAGCACACTTTTCAGACAGAGAGCCGGGGTGCCCTGCAGAGCTGGATGGAGGCTCTATGGCAGCTCTTCTTTGACATGAGTAAGAGAAGAAAGGGCTGGGGCATGGGAGGGGCTGGGCTGAACCTTTGTAAGGCCTGGGGAGGGACTGGGGTTTCTTATTTTTATGAAGGGCTTCTGTTTCAAGAATGTGTGGGAGGGAATGTAGCAGAAGAGAGGGCAGCGGGGCATTCTAACAGTCCTCTCCCTGGCCCCTCATCCATGCTCTCCCTCTAGGCCAGTGGAAGCAGTGCTGTGATGAAATCATGAAAATCGAAACACCTGCTCCTCGGAAACCACCCCAGGCACTAGCCAAGCAGGGGTCCTTGTACCATGAGATGGGTGAGTGAAAGAGGCCACTCCCACAAATCTAGGGAGCTGATGGGAAGTGGGGCTGGGGGCCTCAAGGGACCCAGGTGACGGAAACAGAGCGAGAACATACTTTGGGCTAAGGCTGAGAGCTCTGGGAACACCAGTCCCACACAGTGTCCTGTTGTATTCCTTTCTCCTCTCCAACTCTGCTGAGAACCACCTCCACCAGAGTTCAGAACAAAACCCGAAAGAACAAATTTCATTTCATGGATTTCTCTCCTAACTTCTTCTTTTCTGTTTCCCTTTCTGCATGCGGACTCCTGTCTCTTCCTCTGACCCCTCGCTTGCCTGGCTCCGCTTTCATTTTTCTTCTCTTTCTTGGTTTCCTCGCCCACTTCTGCATCCCCCTCATCCCTGTCTACCCTGCGCCCTGCATACCACAGTCTTATCAGAGCCTGTGGCCACAGGGGGCCCAGGTGAGGGGCTGCTCCTGCAGGATAACACAATTTCGGCTGAGATCCGGGCTTTGCTTTCCTCCTATTACGGTGAGAGGTGATGGTCGGGGCTGGGTAGGCCTAGAGCCTCAGCTCTGACTAGCTCCCTCCCCTCAACCTCTTCCTGGTGCCACAGCTATTGAGCCGCTGGACGACATCGCAGCGGTGACAGACATCCTGGCCCAGCGGGAGGGCCCGAGGCTGGAGACGCCCCCACCCTGGCTAGCAATGTTTACAGACCAGCCTGCCCTGCCTAGCCCCTGCTCACCTGCCTCAGTGGTCCCAGCCCAAGCCCGGATCCATCCCCTGCCATGGGGGCGACCCCGAACCTTCTCCCTGGACGCTGTCCCCCCCGACCACTCCCCTGGGGCTTCCCGCTCGGTTGCCCCTCTCCCTCCTCAGCAATCTCCACAGTCCAGAGGCCTCTGCAGCAAAGGCCCACCCCATACTTGGCTCCAGTCACCAGTATGAGAGAGGAAGGTGCTGACAACAGGATGCAGCCAGAAGAGGAAACGACCTGTGTGCAGTCGGGCTCTGGATACGGCGCTGTCTGCTGCAGGCTGGCCAGCCTGGCCTCCCCTTCCTCTGCTGGACTGGGAGTAGGCTGGGGAGGGGAGCCAGAAGCCCAGCTCAAGCTGTGATTGCCATGGTGCTGAGCGATGCATTCTCAGGGCTGGCTGGGACCCCCTAAACACTTTCTGGGAGAAAACTGGAACCACCCCTGCCCTACCTGCCTGCACTAACCAGCTTTGAGGATGGCACTGAAGAGCCCTGGGAGGGAATGCCTCCCCTGTGACTCCCACATCCACCATTAAAAGTTATTTAACAGCAGCCTTTTCCTGGCTCTTGAGGACAGGTTGCCTCTCTGCTTGGTCTGGACCTCCCTCCCTTCCCTCCTTGCCACTCCCCCCACCCCCCCAAGTTGTGAAGTGTGACTGTGATATTGAGTAATCAGACAAGGGTTGGGTGCAGAGGATTCTTTATAAATACTACAGGGAGAAAGGAAGGCTGCCCTTCTCTCACACACTCCTGAATCTCAGGATCTCGGCGAGGTCATAGCCAGTCACTGCAAAGGAGCTGCCGGAGGGGTCACAGAATCGGGCACCACACACCTGGGTGTCTGGGACACACTCACCGTGGCAGTGCTCCACCTGGGGAGAAGGGGGCTGGTCAGGGCTCTGCAGCCCTGCCACTTGGGCCCTCCACCCTACCCCTCCCATGACACATACCTCAATGTTGTCACTTTCTGGACTTCTGCTCAGCTTCCAGATATGCACAAAGGTGTCCTCGGCTGCAGAGAGTAGCTATAATAAAAAGGCAGGGAGGAAGGGTTGGGACGTGTTGACAGGGGACTGGTACAGGGTGGAATGCCCAGTCCAGGTCCCCTGGGGAGGGGGTGACACTGAGTGTCAGAAACAAGCCTGTGGTGTTCCTCTCAATACCCCAGCACCAGTATATCGGGGAGAAGAGACTGACCTTGCCCACCTCAGGAGCGAGGTCCAGGGCACTGATGGCCCGGGCATGGGCGTTGATCTGGACGTGTAAAGTGCCTGTACTGGCTTCATACAGACGCACTTGCCCATTCCCATAGCCTGCTGCTATAATCCCCTGCCATAGCTGCACGGAGGGGCACGGGACCCTGCAAAGGTGACACCCAACTTTGATCTCCCTGGACCCAAGCCCACTCCCTGTCCCAAAGCTACCTCAAGAAGGTCCCCTTCCTCCTCACCTACCCGAATCCTGCAATGCTGGTCAACAATTTGAATTCAGGCCCTGACTTCCAGACACACAGCAAGCCTGAGTCATCTGCCGTCACCATGTCAGCCACACAGTCCTGAGGGGACAGGTGGGATCAGCCCTTCCCTCTTCCCTTTCTCCCCTGCTGTGGTCCTATGCACAGGGCAGGAGGGAAAGGGAAGCAGGATTTGTATCTTTGCTTCTCCAGGGAAAGGGCGAAGTACGGAGCCCTCACTGGCTGGGCCCATCAGAAACCCTCCCCAGGGTTTCCTCAGGAATCAAAATGTTTTCCTTGCATTTCTTAGAGTCTCACAACCTCCCCTATCCCATCCCCTCCTACCATGTGTTAGGAGCGGGTTTATAACTGTCCTTACCGGATAGATGATGAAACTGAGGCCATACGGTTATAAGCTTCTGGAGGTCTTACAGTGAGCCAGTTACAGTCACCACTAGACTCTAGCCCCCTAGACCTGACAACAGCCAGCCAACATGCCCCAGACGCCTGCTCTGTGCCAGGTCCAATGGAAAATACAAATCCGAAGAGCCACACCTTATTCTCAAGAGGTTTGCAATCCAATTGGGGAAAGAATAGTTTTTTTTGAGCTTTGAGCGCAGTACCAATTCAGGGTTCAGTTAAAGGAGATCAGTGGGAGCTGAAATGGGGGAAGGCTCCTTGCGGAGGGTGGCACTGGAGCCACATTAGGTAGGACTTGTCCAGAAAAGGAAGCTGCATCTTAGAGAGCATGTATTCCAACCTCTCTATTCGCACCAGTGTTTAAAAGTCTTAGTGAACTATAAAATGCCACATAAATGTAACGTATCTCTGGCTTCATCACTAGACCTGAGATTGCTGAAGCCTAGGAAAGTGCAGCAGTTTGCCCAAGGTCATACAGCTGCTTAGTGGCAGAGCCAAGACTTGAACCCATGTCCCCTGCCTACCAGGGTGGGTAAGGCTCCTAGGCATGAGAAGGGGAGTCTACTCACCTGTCCCTGGGCAGGCTCGGTGGCAATGTCTGTGACTGGTGTCTGGTGCCCAGCCAGCTCCTCACACAGTGCAATGTTGGGTCCCTTGACTGGGACGTCAAACACCAGCACACGGCCCGACCACGTTCCTGCAGCCGGAACCAATGCCCCACAGATGGCTTCCTGACCCTTCCAGGTCTCCAGCCACCACATTCAGCACTCCCTCCATCCCAGAGACTTTAGTAACAAACCCACTTCTCAATGCTCCAACAGCCCGGCCTCTCCATTCACTGGCCTCATCCTATTCCCACCCTGCCCCTCTGAACCCTTCCATTGGCTTTTTGGAATTTCCCAGATCCCCTCCACTTCCACCCTCCCCTCTAACCCTCTACACTTGCCTCAGATCCTCAGCATCCTCCTGGCCTGAAGCCCACACCTCTATACCCCAGTACCCACACCCCCACCATGCCCTGCCCTTGACTCCCTCACCCACACAGACGAAGTGGCCACAGGCAGCGATTCCTCGGGCAAACACAGCATGTACTGCGTATGAAGGGGAAAAATATCATAAATCCCTTCCCAGACCCAGCAAAGACCCCCTACCCCCACCCACTCACATGATCCTGTAGGTACCTGGAGAGGCATCTCCAGAGTTCAGTGCATGCCAGTAGACCATGACAGAGCCATCAGACTCATACATCTGGAAGACAGGGAAAGGGCTAGAGACTAACCCAGCTGATCTCTGCTGAGCTCAGTGCTGAGTATTTCACACTTATGTTAGTCTTAGTCCACTTAATCTTCAAAACAACTCTGGGAGGTAGGCACTATTTTTATTCTCATTTTATGGAAGGACCCTGAGGCTCTGAGAAGTTAAATAACTTGCAATTAGCCACACAGCTAGTAAATGGGTAGATATTGAAGGAGGTGGTACTTAGGACACAGATATTGAAAGGGCATTTGGGAATTGGAAAAGATGGAAAGAATGAAGATGAAAAATAGAGCGGGACTGGGCTAAGGATGTGAAAAGTTTGGAATTGTTAGAGTCAAGTAGGGAGGGGTCTAGGGGCTTTGGAAAGAGTTGAGAAGACTGTGGGGCAGGGCAGGAGGGTTCTCTTGTTACCTGTATTCCCCGATGTGAGGTGAGTACCAGCAATACTCGGAAGGGGAGGATACACCAGTGGACCTGGAGGGAGGTGGATCAGAGTAGGAAAAGTGGTCAGAGCAGGGGCTCTGAGGGGTCATCAGAACAGTGGTAATTCTGGAAGTTAGGAAAGGACAAATGGGTAGGTCAGGGTTCAGAAACAACGTCCCCAACTCCAGCCCTCACCTGGGTAATAAGTGGGGGGCTCACTCCAGCGCCCTGCTTAGCATAGAGCTGGCGCTGGGCCAACGGCACACCCTCAGGGGCAGCGCTGAGAAGCTGAGCGCTGGGTCCATGGACAACACCAAAGTGCGTGAGGTTGTGGGTAGGCAGCTGCAGCACACTGAGGTTGTTGCACAGGGCGGCAGCCGAGCCTCGAAGGGGGATGGGGCGCTCCCGACGGAACATCCTGGGGAACCGACACCAAGATCACAGGGCGCGCGGGAACAGACGACAGCGGGGATCCCTGCGGGGGGGAGCTGTCATGAGGCGCTGGGGAACCCCCTGGGACTGAGTCAGGATGTGGTGGGAGGCCCCAAGGACAGTGATGGGGAGGGTCACATGGCGTGGGGTACGTCTCGTGGAGCCGGAGAGGGGAGCCCCAATGCTGGGTCATGGGGCGGTGGGGGAAGCCAGGGGGAGGGATGGTGATGGCACTGGACGCGATCGCCTCAAGCGCCCGTGCCAACAAGCCAGGATGAAGCAGGGCAGTCCCTGGTCCTTCCTCCCTCGGCTCGGTTGCCCGCAGATCCCTGGCTCCGGTCAGCGCTCGCATCCTTAGCCCCAGGCCCGCTTGCCTGACTCCAGGATCGTTCGGTCCCTCAGAATCCGCCGCCACCTTAGAGACGACGCACGTACGCACGGCCGTTGGGCGGGGCGAACGGCCCGAACTGCCGTACGCTGCCCGGTTGCCGGGACAACCGTGGGCGAGGCAAGCAGCCCTGCGCGCCGCACCGTATTCAGGGCGAGTGTTAGACTGTGGTAGCGGCAACCGGGTAGACACTGTTGAAACTCTCGGGTTGGAGCGATTGCGGCGGCGATGGCGCACGAAGGCTCGGTGAGCTTCAGCAAGACTGGGGGTGCGCTAGAGTCAGGGTTGGCCTTTAAGGTCGTGTCGGGAACCGCGGGCCAGCTCCGCGCCGCCCGGCGCCCCTTCTTCCGCAGGTCAACCGCGCGGACCCGAAGCCATCCGGCTTACAAACGTACGCTTCCTCTCTCCGGCCGGTCCCCGGCCCCCAAGCACGAAATTCGCGGATCCCCTCAGCTCTACGCTGCTCTATCCTCTCCCACCGATCCTCTTGTCCCAGAGTTATCCAAGGTGGGACAAGTGTCTATTAGCTTCGCTTCTGGCGTTCAAGACAACCAAGGAAGTCACGTTGGGCAGAAAACCTGCACCTGCACCAAGCCCACCCACACACTTGCTCATACCAAGGCCCTGAGGGACAGGGTAAAAAGGGTGGTGTAGAGCCCGAGAACAAGAAGTGAATTTGGAAACAGCTAATGCATGCAATACGTCTCTTAGAGGTACCCATTTAAATGGGTAAACCAGAATAGGTCAGGAATTTGGGGCTGAAGGGTTGCTAGATATTTCGCGTATTTCGAGACTGTCAGGAAGAAGAAAACTGTGAGGCTGTACTTGAAAGTTATTGTTTAAAACCAAGAAACTATTAAAAGCCAGGATTTGAAGAGCCGTTGTGCAAAACTTCTCTGGCCTCTCAGGTCAGGCCAGGTCTAAGCACAGATGCCAGATGAGAGGCTGGGAGGAGAGATGTAAGGAACCTACTCTCCTCTTGCAGCCAGCCCTGCTCTGGCAAGTCTGGCCTGGGCTTCAGGCCACTTCCTGGGCTTGCCACTAAGGCTATTCTCATGGGGGCTGTTCTCACAAGCCGAGAGAGGGCCGCTTGTGCCTGGGAAATAAGGTTTGAGGGATTTTGAGTTCAGTGTGAGATTTAGGAAACTCCAAATTTGGGGGAGAATGAATTATGAGGCAATAAGGTGGAACGGGGTGGGGAGGTAAAGGTTTTGATAACATCATACTTGGAGATAAATTTTTGAAGGAATCAGGTTCAGGGGGACTGTTACGGGGAAGTGAGGCACCCAAGAGATTGCTAGTAAATCCCTATGTCCCTAGAATAAATGAGATTTGGGGCATGTCTTTTCCTTTTTAAGTGGGGTTCTTTTGGTTATAACAGAATAAAACTCATTGTAACAAAAAATGGTTGATGTCTAGTCTATTCCAACTCATAGTGACCTCGTGTGTTTCAGAGAACTGGGTCCCATAGGGTTTTCAATGGCCTTGATCCTTCTTCCAGACACCTTTGGGTAGATTCGAACTATCAGTGGTTTTGTACCACCCAAACCTCAAAAACCAAACGCGATGCCATCAAGTCGGTTCCAACTCACAGCAACCCTACAGGACAGGGTAGAACTGCCCCACAGGGTTTTCAAGGCTGGTAGATTCGAACTGCCGAACTTTTGGTTAGCAGCCATAGCGCTTAACCGCTGAGCCAGCAGGGTCTTAGGAAATAGAAAAAAGCATAGATATACCTACTGTTACTGTTTTGGTGTTTTCCCTTTTTCAGCACATATTTACACATTTGAGATCAAATTCTATATGTAATTTGTATCCTGTTACTTTCATTTAACAGTACATCATAAGTATTTTCCAGTACCATTACAAAGTCTTCCTAAAGATCATCTTTAATTACTGCACATATGTTTTCAATATTCTGTTGTTATAAACAACACTACAGGGAATATGTTGGAGAATATATTTTTATCTTCAGAATATGCCTTTTGGGCATATTTTTAGAGCTGAAATTACTGGATTGATGGAGTCAAAATATTTTTAATGCTCTTGATACATGAACGGCTTTCCAAAAATACTGTTCCATTTAACATTCCCACCAGCAGGGTGTCAGACTGCTTAATTTTTGCCACTGCTGAGTATTCTTATTTTTAAAATAACTTTTATGAACTAAAAATTAGAACCTCAAATTTGTGTTTTGAAATTTTTGAAAGTTGGACATCTAGTCATACATAATTTCTCTTTTGTGAAACGTTATGACCTTTATGTGTGTGCTCTTACTGCTTTTCTTACTTTCTGTGAGTTTTAATGTATTTGGAATATTTATCTATTTTCATATTTGTTGCAAATATTTTTTCTTTGGAAGTCAGGATAAAGTCAGGCTCTGCAATCAGGCCAACTTGCATATGAATTCTGAACTCCACTACTTTCTAGTTATGCGATCCTGGGAAAATTACTGAAAAATGGGGATGAAAATAGTACATAGTCTAAAAAATATGGTAATTGAGTCTGTGTATGTGGCTGGCATATTTAAGTGCCAGTAAACCGTAACTACTAATGTTGGCTTGTAATTAGGAACTTTTTTTCAAAGTACAGGAAAATTTGACCTATATGTATATACCTGTTTACCTATTTCTTTATGATTTCTCCCATTACTTTTATGTGTAAATAGTTCTTACAAAAGGTATATAATAATTTAACCTGATTTTCCTACTCTTTATGGTTTTGTTTATTTTTTTCTGTGTGTTTATCCTTATTTATCAGAAATGTATTGAGATGTATAAATAGCTACCAGTAATTCCAGCACCATTTATTGACTTGTCCTTCCCAAGGAGCTCTTTCAACTCCACTGGATCTAGTGCATGTAGCAAGGGCTATAGAGTTAGACCACCACCTGTCCTTCAGTTTGTCATACTGCAGTGGCTTGTGTGTCACTACGATGGTGGAAGCTATGCCACTGGTATTTCAAATACCACAGGGCCACCTATGGTAGAGAAATTTCAGCAGAGCTACCAGACTAAGACAGGCTAGGAAGAAAGGCCTGGTGATCTACTTCCAAAAATCAGCCAATGGAAACTTCACAGATCGCAAAAGAACAGTGTTTGATATAGTGCTGGAAGATGCAAACATACCAGTAATCATGAAGATGGCACAGGGCGGGCAACGTTTTGTTGTGTGTTAAGCAAGGGCTCCATGAGTAGAAGACCACTAGGGGGCAGGCAACTAACAACAGCAGCAACATGGAGTTAGAGCTATATATAGCTTGGGTTTACTAAGTGTATGATCCCCAGCTAGTGATGGTTAACCTCTGTCAAGTTGCACTTTCTTTGTCTGCAAAATGGGCCTAGTGGGCTGTTAGGAAAATTAATTTAGCTAGGTCAAACACCTAAAAAGCATCTATCACGTAGTAGGTTCATAGTAAGTTGTCTCTCTTTTCCTTCCTGCTAGGCATCTTGTGAAAGCACCCTCCTAGCCTATAGCTGCTCTTCCATCCCACTCCTCAGTTTCAGTCTCTGACTGCTTGGTTCGGTTCCTACAGCGGCAGGAGAGGCAGGCCCGAGACCGCGGGGTGACCAGATCCAAGGCAGAAAAGGCCCGGCCGCCCACAGTTCCCGTGCCGCAGGTGGACATCGTGCCTGGGCGGCTCAATGAGGCCGAATGGATGGCGCTGGCTGCTATTGAGGAGGGCGAGGACGTGGTGGGGGACATCATAGCCGACCTGCTGGCCCGAGTCGTGGACTCCGCCTTCAGAGTATACCTGACCCAGCAGGTGGGCTTGGAACAGGGTCCCCTGGACCTACCACACCCTATATCCGACTCCTCCCTGTCGGGCTGAGATCCTTTCTCGCCTCTGCAGTGTATTCCATTCACCATCAGTCAGGCCCGCGAGGCCATGCTACAGATCACCGAGTGGCGCTTCCTGGCCCGGGACGAGGGAGAGTCTGCGGTGGCCGATGACCCCACGTGGGGCGAGGACGAGGAGCCCTTGGCGTGCACTACGGACGCCTGGGCTCAGGGCTCGGTGCCTGTGCTGCATGCGCCCGCTTCTGTGGGGCCCGAGGAGACCTTCCAAGAAGTAAGTCCGGCCCCTGTCCCCAGACACCCCCCCCCCATTTCGACCCCCTCAAAAGCACCTCAGGGCCTCCCTGCCCTTGGCTCCTCTGTCCCGTTTCCGACATCTCACTGGCCCTCATCCCCGTGCATTTCCCCAGCACCGAGGGAGCGTGGACCGCAGCCCTTTAAAAAGATCTTGGATAGATAGAGGCTCCCAGGAACGGATGGAATCTTGGGGGCCGTCTCCGGAGCTAGGAGCCAGCCCGGGCCCCCCACCCACCCCGGAGTTGTTTCAAGAGGCAGGGCCCGGGGAGCCTTTAGAGGAACTGGAAGACCAGGAGAGAGACTCCCTCTCCTCGGCCCAGTCCTTCAACGCGAGCTTCCATCCATCGATGGAGATGGCGCCCTCCAGCAGTCCCGAGCATTCTGAGGAACAGTTCCTGGAGGCCAGCTCCCAGCAATCGGCGGAGACGGGGCAGCCCCTCAGTTCCCAGCTCTCGCTCGGGGACCTCTATTATTGCGCGCCCCAGCCAGACGGGGCGGGGGACTGGGCGGAGCTCAAGAAGGAGGGGGTTTCCCGCATCGCCTCGGGCGCTTTGCTGCCCTGCCCCTCTGCAGACGCCCCCACCCAGCTCAGCCCCTCAGCGTCACTCAGGCCGCAGCAGCCGAGGCCCGCGGAAGCGCGGCTGAACGCACTTCACCGCAGAGCCGGCGGCCTGGTGGGAATCGCGCGCCTGGACCCCGCGCGGCTACCGCGCCACTGGGTGCGCCCCCTGGCGGAGGTCCTGGTCCCAGACTCCGTGGCGCGCCCCCTAGAAGCTTACCGCGGGCGCCCGCGGAGCCAGAAGACCAAGGCCCGCGCCGCACCCCAAGCCCCAGACCCCGGCGATCGCGTCTCCTCGGCAGCTTTCGTCCCTCTCCGGCCTGGCGTTGCTCTCCATGCCTCGGGCCCAGGTCTCGGCCTCCAATTCCCCACTTTAGGTTTACCGTCGCCAGCATTCGGGTCAAAGCTGCCCTTCCCCAGCCCAGGTCTCCGCTTCCTCACCACACACCCAGCGCTCCGCACCGTGGCCCGAAGCCCCAGCCCCAAGCTGTGGCCCAGTGCCAAGTGGCCCAGCGGCTGGGAAGGGGAGGCCGAGCTGCTGGGTGAGCTGTGGGCCGGCCGCACTCGTGTGCCTCCACAGGGCTTGGACCTTGCGGACCAAGAGGGCCAGGATTCTCGCAGGCGGCCTCATCCCACACCTCGGGTCCTCGAGGCCACCTCCCAGGTGATGTGGAAGTCCGTGCTTCTGCCAGATGCCATGAAATTGGCTCCTGGTGTAAGCCTCTGGAACCCGAGCACCCAGGTGCTGCTCAGCTCTTCGGAACCCCAGCAAGAGGACGAGGAAGGCTGTATTTCTCTTCCCGTGGAGCAGCACCCCATCCAGACAGATGCCCCAAAGCCCCAGGTGACCGTGGCACAGCTAGTGAAGAACTCAACCCCGAAAGTGTGGTCACTCCCTTCCAAGGACCTGCCCCATTCTGGGACCTGAGCTTCTGGCGCTGGGAACCCACCTTCCCTCTGTCAGCCTGCCGAAAATAAACACCTGGGTTGTCTTAGGAGTTGGCCTGATGTCTCTGTTTTTTTCCAAGGGTGTCCACTCTTTCACCGAACCCCCAAGAAGTCAGTGTCCTGTACCCCTAATAGAAGATAGAACACTGCCTCCTGGGAACAGCCCCCATCACCACCCTTAGGAGACCCTGATTTAGGACCAGGGCTGCTCCCCAGCAGAGGCATTCTGGAGAATCCACCTACCATCTCAAGGAGCAGATGTAAGGGCTGCAAGTAGAAGTCTGGGGACAAAGGAGGGAATGGGGTTGGGAGAACTTTTAGAGTCTCCTTTCAGTAGGGGAGGGAAGGGATAGCGCTGCTTAAGCACACAGTGATTCAAGACATGAGGAATGGGATTTCTTGCTTCTCAAAAATCCAGGGCCAGGATGTCCCTGAGAACTTTGCCAATTCACCTTCAAGCTTTACTTTTGGAGACAAATTTGGACCCGTGTAGGGTCCCTGGGTGTCACAAATGCTTTGCACTCAACTGTTAACCTAAAGGTTGGTGATTTGAAACCACCCTGTGGTACCAGGGAAGAAAAGACCTGGTACTCTACTTCCATTAAGAGTACAGTCAAGAAAACCCTATGGAGCAAGTCTTCTCTGTAACATATGAGGTTTCCATAAGTCATAATTCACAGGAAGGCAACTAACAACAGCAATAATGTTATCGATTGAATTGTGTCCCCCCCAGAATATGTGCTGTAAATCCTGACTTCTATGCCTGTGTGTAACAATGGTGTGGCTGAGGCGTCTGACCTCATCTAACTTCACAAGGGGAAAGGAGAATCCAGTCAACAGCCCAAGGCTAATTCCTATGAGGTGGAGGTCAGACATGCCTTCTGTCTCCATCTTTACCAATTCTGACACCAACCATCCCTCCCGAGGCACTTTCTACTTCTCTGCTAAGTTCAATAATTCACTGAAATGGCCACTCAGAACTCACAGGCAATACTCAGGATTTTGGGGTTTGTTAGGGAAGTAACAGGTTACAATTCAGATTCAGGAACACTCAGGATACAATTCTTCCATCAGGACAGTCTCTTCTCAGCCGTGCCTGCAGGCCTGCCTCTCTTTGGCCCTTGGCCTCTGCCATGCTAGGGTAAATGTTACAAAGTTCTTTTAGTTTTGCTGGTAAGTGTCCCAAGGCACTCCTGCCAGCAAGCCTTGGCCCAGTGACGCTCAGCTCTAGTTCCCTTGGCTGGCAAATCTAGCTCCACCAAGTGCCCGGAGGCATCCTACTCTGCCAGCAAGCCTCTTTAGTGGGCCACAATTACCCTTATTTGCCTAGTCCTGCCCAATCATTTGGGTGAGAGTTACAAGACCATGGTGAGAAAGGCCACACAAATGAGATCCATCACACCACACTGTGGTTATAATTCCATTTGGGAATGAATTGTCTTTGTTATGTTAATGAGACAGGAATAGTATAGGGTGTGTCTTGAGTCAATCTCTTTTGAGATATAAAAGAGATTAAACAAGTAAGTGAGGTGGCAGAGATGGGATGAGATAGATGACAAGACACAAGGAGATCTCCAAGGAACCAGGAAGCAGAAGCTGAAGAGACAAGAACCTTCCTTCCCGCAGAGTCAACAGAAAGAGAAAGCCTTCCCCTAGAGTCGGTGCTCTGAATTCAGACTTCTAGCCTCCTAAACTGGAAGAAAATTAATTTCTGTTTGTTAAAGCCATCCACTTGTGGTATTTCCATTATAGCAGCACTAGGTAACTATAACAAATATTAACAGGGTATGGGGAAACACTTTTTTTTTTTTTTGAAACATTCACTCGGCTGTGACTATGGTGAGGCAATAGCAAAATTTAAGGAGGCACTCTTGCTCAGGTTTGGGAAACATGCTTGAACATATCTGAGTGTGAGTGCCTCTTTAAATTTTGTGCCTTTGTCATCTCACTTGCCTCGTTCTTAGTTCCACCCAGCTTTGACTACCCTCCTTCCCTGTGCCTCCTCTATTTTTGAAGCAAGTCTACAGTGCTTTTTTGGCCAACTTGCAGCCTCTGCTATGTTGCTGTGGGCTGCACTCAGCACCCTGTTCTGGGGCCTTATCTCTGTCTTCCTCATTCTGATCCTCCTGCTTGGACTGTGTGTGCGGATCTGGCAGAGGTCTCATCCCTGGGACCTCCAGCACTGCTCCACAGACCTGACTGGGAAGACAGCAGTGGTGACTGGGGCCAACAGTGGTAAGTGCTTTTCCTACCCTGTTACCTCACCAAGGGCCTCAGCCCTTAACAGTTCCAACAGGGAGTGTAAAGAGGGGAACCAACCCTCTCTGTCAGGGAGCCTTGTCCCTCCCTTTCCTCCATTGCCCTCTAATCACCCCTAGACTAGTCTACTCTGTAGCTGCCTTCTCACAGGTATTGGGAAGGTCGTGTCCCAAGAGCTGGCTCGTCGTGGGGCTCGCGTGATCCTCGCCTGCAGAAACCGAGAGCATGGACAGCAAGCCCTAGCTGAGATCCAGGCAGCCTCACGCAGCAACCACCTGCTGCTTGGCCAGGTGGACCTCAGCTCTCTGACCTCCATCCGGAGCTTTGCCCAGTGGCTCCTGCATGAACAGCCTGAGATACACCTGCTGGTAAACAACGCTGCAATCTCCGGTATGTGCCTTGGCTTACTTCCCCAAACACGTTTCAGGAGCCTCCTTTTTAGCTCAGGGGCCCCAAAACAGGCATCGCCAAAGCCTAAACCTGTGTAGCCTGCTGAAATGCTCTAATTTATACACGCCCCTAAAAAGGCTGCTTTGAGTTATAGCCTCAAACATCATCACTCCTGTCTTTCCATGTCCATGCCCCTATGGCATTTCTGTTGAACTCCAGTATATCCATCTGTGTGAGGGAATTTTAAAATTTGAAGTACCTGAGAAAAACTGAAATGGCTGGCCTGAGGTTTGGATACGACTTCTTTGTTACTAGCTCCATTTTCACCCTAGCAACAGCCATCTTCTGTGCAGACCTAATCATGAAACTAAGGAATGTCTGGTAAGGATGACATAACTACACTGTGACCCTCCCCATCACATACCCTTGTGATTACCACACTGTAATCAATCTAAGAAAGACTGGATATCCTTTTTAAGCCAATTGCCTTATGAGCTTCCATTACAGGAAGCCCTGCCTTGTGAATTTCTACCACAGGAAGTCCTGCCTTATAATAACCTACTACCAAACAGATGCAAGGAAGACTGAAGAAGAATTGATGCCGTTGAATTATGGTGTTGGCGAAGAATATTGAATACACCATGGGCTGCCAGAAGAACAAACAAGTCTATCTTGGAAGAAGTACACCCAGCATTCATCTCACATACTTTGGACGTGTTATCCGGAGGGACCAGTCCCTGGAGAAGGACATCATGCTTGGTAAAGTACAGGGTCATCAAAAAAGAGGAAGACGCTCAACGAGATGGATTGACATAGTGGTTGCAACAACGGGTTCAAACATAGGAACAGTTGTGAGGGTGGCGCAGTGTTTTATTCTGTTGTACACAGGGTCGCTGAGTCAGAACCAACTCGACTGCACCTAACAATAACAACAACAACAGCTACCAATCAAGTAGTGTCTTTCGATGATCCAAGGCTGCAATTACCAATCAATAATGTCTTTTGACCCTACTACATGGCATAAACAGAATACAGACCATAAGTAACAATGCACAAACACTAGAAGAGAAACTAGGTAACTGGGAGCTCCTAAAAATCAAACACTTATGCTCATCAAAAGACTTCACCAAAAGAGTCAAAAGACAACCTACAGACTGGGAAAAAAATTTTGGCTATGACAAATCCGATCAGTGTCCAATCTCTAAAATCTACAAGATGCTGCAAAACCTCAACAACAAAAAGACAAATAACCCAGTTAAAAAATGGGCAAAAGGATATGAACAGGCACTTCGCCAAAGAAGACATTCAGGCAGCTAACAGACACGTGAGGAAATGCTCGCGATCATTAGCATTAATCCAAAAAACACAAAATAATAAATGCTGTAGAGGTTGTGGAGAGACTGGAACACTTATACACTGTTGGTGGGAATGTAAAATGGTACAACCATTTTGGAAATCGATTTGGTGCTTCCTTAAAAAGCTAGAAATAGAAGTACCATATGATCCAGCAATCCCACTCCTAGGAATATATCCTAGAGAAATAAGAGCCATCACACAAATAGATACATGCATACCCATGTTCATTGCAGTACTGTTCACAATAGCAAAAAGATGGAAACAACCTAGGTGCCCATCAACGGATGAATGGATAAACAAATTATGGTGTATTCACACAATGGAATACTATGCAATGATAAAGAACAATGATGAATCCATGAAACATAACATGGAGGAATCTGGAAGGCGTTATGCTAAGTGAATTTAGTCAGTTGCAAAAGGATAAATATTGTATAGGACCACTATTATAAGAACTCAAGAAAAGATTTAAACACAGAAGAAAACATTCTTTGATGGTTATGAGCGTGGGGAGGGAGGGAAGGAGTATTCACTAGCTGGATAGCAGACAAGAATTATCTTAGGTGAAGGGAAGGACAACACACACTACAGGGGAGGTCAGCACAACAAGACTAAACCAAAGCTAAGAAGTTTCCTGAATACAATCAAACACTTCAAGGGACAGAGTAGCAGGGGTGGGGGTCTGGGGACCATGTTTTCAGGGGACATCTAGGTCGATTGGCATAACAAAGTTTATTAAGAAAATGTTCTACATCCTACTTTGATGAGTGGCATCTGGAGTCGTAAAAGCTAGTGAGCAGCCATCTAAGATACATCAATCGGTCCCAACCCACCTGGAGCAAAGAAGAATGAAGAACACCAAACACACAAGGAAAGTATTAGCCCAAGATACAGAAAGGGCCGCATAAACCAGAGACTTCATCAGCCTGAGACAGAAGAACTAGATGGTGCCCAGCTACCACCAATGACTGCCCTGACAGGGAACAAAACAGAGAGTTCCTGACAGAGCAGGAGAAAAGTGGGATGCAGAACTCAAATTCTAGTAAAAAGACCAGACTTAATGGTTTGATTGAGATTGGAGGGACCCTGGAAGATGTGGCCCCTGGGCTCTCTGTTAGGCCAAAACTAAAACCATTCCTGAGATCAACTCTTCAGACAAAGATTAGACTGGACAATGAGACATAAAATGATACTTGTGAAGAGTGTGCTTCTTAGCTCAAGTAGATACATGAGACTAAATGGGCAGCTCCTGTCCAGAGGAGAGATGAGAAGGCAGAGAGGGTCAGGAGCTGGTTGACTGGACACGGGAAATCCAGAATGGAAAGGAAGAGTGTGCTGTCACAGTATAGGGAGAGCAAGCAGGGTCACAATACAATGTATGTATTAATTTTTGCTTGAGAGACTAATTTGAAGTATAAACTTTCACTTAAAGCACAACAATAATTTAAAAAAAATGTCTTTTGATGATTTAAGTTTGTAAATATCAATAAAGTAATGTACTTCATGTTCTTTATTCACCCCTTATAAAATGTCACTGTAGCGTAGCCATTTCGAAGTACGGGATTTTACCGCGTGGAATTCAGTCTCTTCCTCGCTCGAGCTGTCTATGACACATCCCAGACCTTGTCCCCCTCAGGGTAGTTCCTCCATTACCCACCACCTGTCTTCTTATCTTCTCCCAGGAATCCCCCAGAAGACACTTACTCCAGAAGGCCTGGATGTCACCTTTGCCACCAACTATGTTGGGCCCTTTCTGCTCACAAATCTCCTTCGAGGTAAGGAAGGATGGGTGCCTGCCTTCTGTGCTGCCTTCTGTTCCCTATACCCCTATTCTCTCCCATGGCTGCCTTCGTCCCATTGGTATCCAGCTGCTTACTGAGTGGTGACCCAGCACATTTTTCTTACAGCAGGAGAACCTATCTGGCACAAGTCAAAGTTGTTAGGCTAGTTAGTGGAATCAGTGCATTGCTAAAGGGACAAGGTAGGAAAATTCATTACTAACTGTGTGGCAAGGATCAGCATGAATCCAGTTCCCACCTGGAAATGGATCCAAGCTTTACCTTTCCACATCTCTCTATTCTCATTACCAGCCACTTCCATGGCACTTCCTCTCTCTGACCCTAACCACGCACAGTGAGGTCAGACTTCATCCCCTGCCACCCTGATTCAGGTCAAAACATTCCTGGCCACCCGGGGTTAGGTCATCAGACATCAGCCTTGGCTCAGGAGTTTGCACAACTCCCTGTACTTCAGACCAGTTGGTCCCTCTCTCTCTCTCTTTCTAGCCCGCTGGGGCTAGGTCAACCCTTGGGTTAGAAAGATTCTGTCATTCAGATCAACTGCCATGTAGGCAAATGCCAGCCCCTGCTGGTTCTCAGTGCCCCTTGTGGCTTCCTTAATTCTCTACAATGGCTCACAAAACTCACAGAGACAATTACCTATACTTACCAAAACCCGTTGTCAAGTTGATTCTGACTCATAGCGACCCAATAGGACAGAGTAGAACTGCCCCATAGGGTTTCCAAGGAGCTGCTAGTGGATTCAAACTGCTGACCTTTTGGTTAGCAGCTGATCTCTTAACCACTACGCTATCAGGGCTCCAACGTATACTTACCAAAAAAGAAAAAAACCAAACCTGTTGCCGTTGAGTCAATTAGACTCATAGTGACCCTATATTGACCGTATAGGACATAGTAAAACTGTCCCATAGGGTTTCCAAGGAGCGACTGGTTGATTTGAACTGCCAACCTTTTCGTTAGCAGCCGAACGCTTAACCATTGCACCACCATGGCTCCACACCTATACTTACAGTTACCCATTTATTATAACCAGAAAGGATACAAGTGAAGAGACGCATCAGGCAAAGTCTAGGAGGGATCCCAGCAGAAGGCTTCCACGGCCCCAAAGGGACATGCCACCCTTTCCTTTGTGTGGATGTTCTCCCCAAGCCAGGAAGACCCATGTAACTTCTGCATTTGGGCCTCTTATAAAAATGCGTATGAATGATGGGGCCTCAATGCATAGTCATGACTGCTGCCTCATTGCATATGCATCATTGATAGAATAAATGAATATGCATGATCGATTCCATCTTGTCCCCCTCCTGTCCTGAGGTTTGCTGCCAGGGCAGGGCCTGTGTAGCCCCTACTCATTTGCACATATTTAAGTGTTGTCTGGCTATTTTAGAAAAACAAAGACACCTTGATTGTTCAAGAAATTCCAAGGTTTATTTTCAGGAATCAGAAACAAAAGGCCAAATCACAATCAGTCAGCCCAGAATGCAGCCAGTACAATGTAAGATCCCACTTAAGAGCTATGGCTTCTAATCAAAAGTTCGAATCCACCAGCTGATCCTTGGAAACCCTATGGGGCACTTCTACTCCTTTTTCCTGTAGGGTTGCTATGAGTCAGAATCAACTTGACAGCAATGGGTTTGGTTTTGGGGGAGCCCTGGTGGTGCAGTGGTTAAAAGCTTGACTCCTAACCGAATCCACCAGCCGCTCCTTTGAAGCCTTATGGGGCAGTACTACTCTGTCCTACTGTTATGGCGGAGGGCACGTAGGCCCTTCGGACTCAGTGGCTTTTTGTCTTTCTCTTGTAAGAATACATAGAGGAGACAATTTTTTGGTTCAGCTCTAACAGGTTTATTTTACTTGTGACAAGTAAAAGGAGTCAGTCGGGGGCTGACTCGCAAGAAGAAGCAAGGCTAGGGCTTATATGGGTTCGGTGGGGACAATACAGCAATGAATATTCAGTGGGTTTCTTTGAAGGGGTGGTTACTTCTTGGAATGGTAGTGCATACTAATTAGGTTGCGCGTGCATCTAGAATCCAAGATGGAACCTGCTGATATTCAAGACGGAGTTCCCTTGGCAGCTCTCCGCATCACTTATTATGGATAAAGGATATGGCGCAGGCACACTGATCTGCTGTATTACCTCGCCCCCTTCCGTGGGCCAAAACAGCCGTCACACTTCGTTCTTCTGCACATGCGGAGCCTGTAAGAAGGGGAAAGGGACTAGAAAAACAGCAAGTAGGAAGTAGTAATCACGGTTGTTCTAACCTTATTTTATGTTGACAGGATGTGGTTCCTGTTTACCCAGCTTCTAGGTGATACTCTTCTCCCCCCCACCCCATTTTTTTAATTGTACTTCAGGTGAAGGCTTACAGAACAAATAGTTTCTCATGAAACAGTAGTACACATATTGTTTTATGACATTAGTTAACAATCCCACAACATGCCAACCCTCTCCCTTCTTGACCTTTTTTTTTTTTTTTGGGTGAAAATATACATAGCCAAAGATAAACCATTTCAAAAATTTCTACATGCACAGTTCAGTGACATCGACTACGCTCTTCCAATT